GGGCTTTTTAAATCGGGTATACGGTATATTGCAGCTTAAATACAGGTATTCGGTATATCACTTTCTTTGAATTTCAGGTATAAAGTATATCTGGGTGTAATTTTGGGTTTATTTGGATGAATTTTGGGTATTTTGCCGAATTTTTTCAGGTATACTGGTATACCACTACCCCACCTGGCCGACTCTGACTTTGTGATGGAGTCAAACGTTTTCTGTAAGGTGATGAGTACCTGGAGTCTTTCGCGAAAGTCCCGGTAACTATTCCGGCCCAGAAAGCTGCTTTGTGTTTGTCGCATTTACATTCAAGATCGAAGTTTTAATAATTTTGAAAATAATAGAATTAAACAATCAGTTAACGAAGCAAAATTTATCGGTCAGGAACTGTGCTACTATTCAACAGGCTTGGATTTCATTGCCTTCGGGCCAGAAAAGTTTTCAGGCCTTTCGGGAAACCGGCCCCTGGTGCGATTCTATCTCAGTCCGGCATTTCTCTAAGGGTCTCTAAATGTATGTCTTCTTATCCTGTCTGTACGAGGCTCTTATTTCGGCAGCTGTTTCGTTTAATAACTCTTTATATTGCTCTTTGCTAATTTCATCTGATTTGCCTTGCAAACACCTTCTTTTTTTTCAAGTGATTGTTGAGAAATCGATGGGATCTTTTAGTCTTCTCTCTTTGACGGATCTCAGTATTACCTTTTAAATCAAAATCAGACTCAGCTATTTCCTCATGGGCCTTTTCCGTGATCAGTGGGCTATAACAGCAAAGAGAGCTTGTTATTTACTTTCGACTATGAATTTACTGCTTATGTTGTTCGTGTTGGAACACGCTGGATTTTGGTTCTCTTTTCGTTTTGACCATTTTGATCTTCAATCAGAGTCTATAGCAACTCGTGGTCCGTGCCACAGTCTGCTGAGGTTCTCCATTTTTACGCCGGTCAGTATGAGAATTAAGTCAATTTGATTCCTATGTTCTCCGTTAGGTGTTGACCAAGCGTAAAACCTTCTTATAGTTAGCTGAAAAACTGTGTTAATTTCCACAAGATTATTTTCTATTGCAAGTTCTTCTACTAAGTATATACCTGGTACAAGAGGTTTTTCTTGAAATTAGTTCTCCGCTTGGGAAAAATCAACGGCTCGCTCTCTCTCTTAAGTAGTTAGTTTGGTAGTATTTTAATTAGTGTCCCCTATTAGTAGGCCTCACCAGCCCAGCTTGCCTGTGCCAGGCTCTCAGATAGTATAGTGGAAACATATTAAAACGAGCAAAGCAAAAATAAGATGCGCACGACTTGGGAAAGGGGGCGGTGGCGGCGGGAAAAATGGGAGAGAATCTCCCTCCCCAGCCCCAGCGCGTTTTTCGCATTTCTTTTTACTGAACGACTTTCCACCACCATCTCGGAGCCTGGAACAGGCTACAGCCCAGCTAGAAGACGAGACACTTGAATGAAGCTCATTATCACCATCACGCGGTCTCAAAGAAATTTCAAGAAAAACCTTTTGGACCAGGGTACTGAGTCTATCTCTTCTTTCATTTCCTTTGCGTATCCTAGGGCCTATCCTTTTAACAGATAGGTAAAAGTTAAAAGGCTTTATTGACTTGAGGAGAAAAAAGTTGCAAAGGAGAGTTTGATTTGGGAAACGTGTGGGGAAAAATTATAGGCCACGTCTGAGTTCCAAAAACCCTCACTTTCAAAATGAGGCTAAGTGCACAACCTTTCTCGTGAAAATGAGTTTTATTTGCATGATAATGAAAAATGATTTCCATATCAAAGGCTGAGCACCTGGCCTCGTTTTGAAACAGAGGCCCGGGGGAACTCGGAAATGGCCTGCCTCAGCAACTCCCAAGGAGAACCCTTCATGGCTGAATCCCCAGATTCCAGAGAGGAGTAAGGTACAGCGGAGACATAAGTTCACAGTGAGAATGAAAGTATTATACTTTATTCAGATTTAACCACAAATAATAACACAACAGCTGAGCATTAAATTCATTTAGACCCAGTTGTTCAAACGTTGGATAGAGCTATCTCCACCGGATAAAATCTCAATCCAGCGGATAAGGATCAGGGAAACCCATTGCACTATTCACTGGATAGAGATTTATCCAATAGATCTTAAGAGTTATCCACCCAGCATTTGAACAACTGGGGCCAGAGCGTTAACAAAGGAGCCACAATTAGGAGCCAGTGGAAAAATTGATAACCGCTACACATTCCAGAAGGCGCCTGTCCCCGTCACGTCTTTCACATACGCTTCACGCTAGACACTAGCTCGCCCCGAGTTTGCCTATGTCTTAAAAAAGCCTGTGCCACAGGTTACCCAAAGACTAATGGGACATAACTACTTCGCACTTTCGGTATTTTCACTTGTGCTTTCATCTTTGTGTCACAAATGTGAACAACAAATGAAGTGCACCAAAATGATTGCAATATGCTCAAATACACATGTGCAACTTATTGTTCTTACATTTTTAGTGGATGTGCCAAAATCCCTTGTGCCTATGTTTGCATTGCTTATGTCAACCAGCCCATAGAAACAGAACGGTGCTCTAACCACAATTTTATACAAAGTTGCCTTTTGATGACCTAAATAACTGGACACCAGACGTAGAATGTTGGTAGCCAGAAAAAGAAACAACAACAACAACAAAAGGGCACCTTGTGCAATATTACCTGAAGGGTATGAAAATAATGATGAAAATTGATGCCCAGTTATCACAATTGAATTTTGAGACACACACATCATCTCAAGGCTTTATATCTGGGCAACCAGGGTAAAATAGTCAAATTATAAAGCTAATCATAACTATAACAAAAATTGTCAAATCTGATTGGCTATCAACTGCCCTGATTTCAGCCTTAATTGGACAGTTTAAAAGGATAATACGCTTCATGCCAAAGTAATTTGACAGTACGCGCCATCACACACGCGCTTAAATGGCTTTTTTTTTTTCACTGCTAGAAATAAAAACCTCGGAATTTCTTGTGTTTTGATTTAAAAAAAAAAAACGATTATGTCACAAATTTTGTTAAAGTTATGATTAATTGGTAACAGAAATTTGTGTCGTCCAATTCGGTCTGTAATCATACTTGTGATTAAACAAATTGGACTCCAGCTACGCGGTCGTCCGATTTTGTTAATCACTNTTTGTGTCGTCCAATTCGGTCTGTAATCATACTTGTGATTAAACAAATTGGACTCCAGCTACGCGGTCGTCCGATTTTGTTAATCACTCGTATGATTACAGACCAAATTGGACTCCACTCAGTCCTATTACCACTACGTATAAAACTACCTATATAGTATTTCATTCAAATGTTTATCTCACTTTTGCTTTAGAAAGACCATAACACAACACCACTGCTTGGCAAATGACTGCCAAACACAGGTCGCCAAATTGACGAGTTTTGTTGCAATTTTTAGTCATCAAATTTTTTCCCTTCTAACCATAGCAACCAAAGTGGTCACCGTTTGGAGCACTGACATCTTGAAAGTTTAACAGGGTTTTGACAGAGATTCCTCATTGGAGTTGTTGTTGTTTTGGTAGTTTGTTGTTAGCCTGCATAGCAGGCATCGAAAGGGGTAGGGGATAGGAAGGAAGCTGGGAAAAGAGAGGGGATTGGGGAGAAAGGTTAAGGGGTGCCTGCTATAAGAACCCGGCCCTTTCGTTCATTTCTGCAGACACTGGCGTCTGCAAATTCCTGATTGGCTGAGCAGTAATGAGTAACTTATTGGCGTGGAGGCATGTATTAGTGCAAAGAGACAAACATTATAAAGACATCAAGGAAATGACGTGTTCTACTAGTATAAACTTTGGAAGATCAAAATTACTCCAATCATGTAGCAACTTCACGTTAAAACCGTAACTAGTCATGTAGAACCAACTGTAATACCTTGTTTAGCATGCAGAGATGCTCAGAAGTTTTTGTATACTGGATTTTTCCAAACTCTGGGGGGCAATTCAAGGCAATTGCAATCCAGACATCTGCAATGCCAATATTCACAAGTCTGCCTTTTTTCCGAAAAACATATACTGTCTTGAATGTGTATATCCTTTGAACTTTTTGACAATTGTTTAAAATTCCTCTTTGTTTGATGAGGTAAGACCAAAAGTCATGCATATTCACATGAAACTGATCATTGTTTGTCATAGACTGCAAAGAGTAAAAAAAAGAGAGACTGCTCGTAGTCTATGTTTACCATGTTTACTGAGGGATCAAGAACAGCAAAAATGTTTTATTTTACTTGATTATGATATCACTTGAAAAAAGCATCTTGACTTGACAATTTCTGGTAAACAAAGTAATTAAGTGCTGACCGTGCTGAGAAGCCCCTTACTTGCGATTGGTCACATATTGACAGTTGACGTCATCGGATTAGTTTAGAAAATGGTGGGCGGAATACAAAGACACCGGCCCTTATAGGAGGCGCCCCCTTCCCTTTTCCCTTTTGTGCTTTTCTCACTTCCTTCCCCCTTGTCTTTTTGAATTGAATGAATTTGCATCTTTTGTTGTTCCTTGTACCGGTATAGGGGGAGGGGGGGAGTGTCTATTAGGCAGGGGGCATCTATCAGAGAGGAGCATCTAATACAAACTTAAAAGAGTAAGGGAGGCATTTATTAGACAAGAACCATTTATTTGGGAGAAGACATCTATTAGATCATTTACAGTGTGTTGCTGAAGTTTGTTGTTGGTTCTCTTTGTTGCTCCAGGAGGTTTTTCTCTGAGTAATCCAGTTTACCTCCTCAAAAACCAACATTTCCAAATTCCAATTTGTTATGAAAAGTGTCCCCAATTAGGCAGGCTCACAGGTCTTTCAGTTCTTGAAAACAATATCAAGTGACACGATCTCTGAATTGTTGAAATCCTGTAAAAATGACTCAAGGTCTTGATTTTTCACAGAATTTAACATATCCTGAACAGAAGGTTGTGAACGTTGGTCAGTTTAGGATAGGAGTTTGCCATGGTCATCAGGTTGTTCCATGGGGAGACCCTGAGTCACTTGCAATGGTGAGTGTTGTTTAAATCAAACAAAATTTGATTCTTATGAAGGCAAGGATGTGTTCATTACTGGATATAAGAAGACTTGTACAGAGCAATGTAGCATGGCTTTATTTGAATGGAAAATTGAGTTCATTTGTGGGATTTGCTGAAGTTGTGGATAATATATTTTGGGAAAACATTAAGAAATTTTTTGGCCTCCTCTTTTTGCATTCAATTTATTTGATTGTTATAAAACTACTAGTTTTCAATAAACAAGACATTTTGAAAGCTATCATTTCGGTGGAGTGCATGCCAAAGTTGGGAAAACTTAAAATTTATCTTAGGAGAATGTTGGGGCAGATGTGAGGGTAAGGCCAAGTCACATAACATAATTTTTACCAAGGGTAATAAGCAAAGTATCTTACACATGAGTGGATAAGTGAGATGCAAACATGCAAGGAGCGGAGGAAATAAGGGCTTGCAATGATCACCATTAACCAATGGCAGTCCTAGCTGGCCTGGTACAACTGTATTTTAAACCTGCATTACAGGAATCTAAAGGTGTTGGAGAACAAGGTCAAAAGGGAGAGGTAGTGGAGGTTCCTCTTTTTGGCTTCCTCAAACAGACGTAACAAATGGACAATCAGGGGAGGGGGGGGGCATACCATTCCACCCAAAAAATTCTTGCACAGGGAAAGTGTCTAAAAATCAATTGACATTGTTGCCAATGTTCCCCTTAGAACACAATATTATTAAAGAACAGCGGGGTTATTAAGGGGTCCATTTTAGAGTTGAGAGAGAGAGAGAGTTGGCTGTAAAACCAAAAACTTTTAAGACATAATTGATTATTATTATTATTATTATTATTATTATTATTATTATTATTATTTGTCATCTTCAGCTTCAACGTCAGCTTGATGTTGACATTCTTATTTATGGCCACACCCACAAGTTTGTGGCATATGAACATGAGGGAAGGTTTTACATCAACCCAGGAGCTTATAATCCACTGCAAAGGTAAGACTCTCCTTCACATTGGTTGGGGAGCCAGGGCATGGGGTGAGGGTTTGATTGTTTTTGCTGGCCCTGGGGTGGGGCATTTGACTGATCTTGTTCTCCTAGGGGAGGGGATATTTGCCTCTTTCTGCGCCCAACATGCACTGGGATCAATTAAACCTTTTCTAGATATTGCTGTATCAAAGTAAAGGAAGCTCTATTTTCAAAACAAAAAACACCATCAGGTTAAAATTGTGCAGAGAGCTGTAATTTTCAAGAGACCTTTAACCCAAGAGAGGTAAAACCTTAGCATTTTTTTCTGTAATTTTGAATTTTATGACCGTTTTTGTAGATAATGTGGAAGTAAGTGCCTCAATAAGCAACAGTTTTAAAAATATATTTTATTTGGTGCTATTCACAAAGAGCCTAACATCACATCCTTATGTATTATCCATGGGACAGTGTTTTAGTTGATATGCCTAACTATAATTTAGATTGGGCTCAATACAATGTTAATAGAGTGCACTTAAAATTTGAAATGACTTTTTATGCTTTACAGGACTAAAATGTTTTGGTTCTGGCAACAATGTGCAGCCAGGGGTGGGGAAAATTTTGTACATTTGACTGGAATGATTTGCCCATGAGCAGGGAATTTGACAGTAAATGTTTGAAAAATGCCAAATCAGGTCATTCAGGTGAAACAAGCCAACCTTGCGACTTCATTGCTCTCTCGGTCATTGCAGAAGGTCATTAAAGCTCACTTTGTTCACTTTTGAGAACTTAGGAGAGGTTGACTTGTGGCAAGGCCCCAAGAATATTATGATACCCAAACATCTTCAGTAGCAACGTGAAGTTTGGTGTTAAGCTTTACCCAACACTTCTACGACTGTCTGACAAAACAAGGGTTGGAAACTTATTTTTTTTTTAACTTCTGTAGAACAATATCATAAGAGAGAAAAGTTTGACATTCCATGAATTTTTTATGTATGGAATTTAAACCTCTTTATTCCTCAAGGTGCTTATGCTTTGTAAAGTTGTTTTTTTTTTTTTTCTTATTTTTCCACCTATCCACCTGTCAAGATATGTGACTGTAAGGAAAAATTAGATGTAATCACTGTTGGAATGTTGTTTCTTGTAGTGACATTGTGCCGTCATTTGTTCTGATGGACATTCAAGCTGGTACTATTGTCACCTATGTGTATCAGCTGATCAAAGATGATGTGAAGGTGGAAAGAATTGAGTACAAGAAACCTGTATAGAAAGTATGTATGGAAATAATAATTAGTGGTTTTCATTTATAGTCCTTTTTAAGTTTCATATTTTTCTGTCCCGTACCAAAATTAACGCTCTAGCCAGAAGGTAAATTGGGCCATAATTTTCAGCCAAATCCAGGCCGAAATAAACCAAAACAGGGCCTTAAAAAGTTCAACCAAAGATGAACCAAAACGAGCCTCACTGAAACGTAAATATTTGAGCCACAAAATAAACCAAAATAGAACCCAAATCCTAACTACACTCCAGTGATGCAAAAACTGGGCCAAAATTGGGCCCAAATTATGCTGTCATTTTGGCTGAACGGTAACACGATAATGACCGCTGTCTGCACGCTGCATATTTCTGTAATCCGGTTCGAGCTAAATTAGGCCACATTTGGGCCAAAATTACGCTGTAATTGAGGCTGAGATCCAACCATTTCTAGGTCAAGATTTCGCTCAACAGTAACTCGACACCGGCAAACTCGAGATTGCGTGCCAAATGTACATTTTCAAGGTAGATAAATAGATAAGCAGGCTAAAGTTAGTATTAAATAATTGACAAACGTTTGTATGAAAATCATCACAAATGAAACATCAACTGGATTTTTAATGCAGTATAGCAAATTTAAATACATTGCTACCAGAATTTTTCTACAAAAAATATTACATCAAAGAACGAAACCGGGTCACGCGTCGTTTTGAATGTATAAATCACGAATTCACATCACGTACAAAGTCCACTTGCTACAGACTGTTTGTGCATTTCTTCAAAAATTACAAAGACATTGTCTGAATATTATTCCTTCACATAGATGAGCACCAGCACTGCGACGATCACAAATTCCATACTTTTCACTCTCACAAGCTCGATAACTTTTTTGACACGCGACCCGTACTAAGTGGCTATTTCCTCTCAGGATTTCTGTAATTTAGTTCTTCCTATGTTACCCACAACCAGCAAATACAGCCGTGTGCTTTAGGAAATAGTTCCAGAACAATATTTAACTGGTTTGTTAGGCAGGTTTTAAGCCCTATATCATAGAGATAAACATGTTTCCAAGAAGACTTCTGCGTTTTCAAACAGTCATGACCAGTTTACTGGCCGCCAAAAGAAAGGGCTACGAACGTTTAACATGATGCACGATCTATGAAGAAAAAACACTGACCTTAAATACAACTTAAAACACACAAGCTTACCTTTATCGGCAGTTTTAAAAATTATACTGACAAACCTTTGTCCTGCAAATTTTCACTTTCAGCTTCTTGCCTCGCTTCAAACGGTCCTTGCAAGGCACAGCGACTTTTGGGACTTTTTGGGTACAGTGCCGAGACTTTTGTCCGAATCAAAATAGATGCAGTAATGAAAACTAATTTTCAAACTTACAAATGTTAAGTTTCAATGTAACTTAGATCGGGAAAACGTTTTACAGGAGAAGAAATGATCTCTCACTCTCTGTGTTACACAAACGTTTTTCTCTTACGATGCAACTAACGAAAAACCCCAAATGCCCGCCAAAATAAACTAACCAATCATCATGTGTCTCTAAGGCCACGTGAACATATCGAGACAGGGTTTTTGAGAAATCAAGAAACGCGATCACGCAAAAACAACGCATGGAAAGTTTCAAGTGGACCTGTCAGGTTTACTACGGTAACGTAAAGACAATGTCACAAAAATTTTTCCATAGTAAAGCGCTTTTTACTGTAGTAATTGTAGAGGCTTTTTAATATGGTACCACCACGATTCAAATACATCATATATAGCTATTTAAATCCAGCTTTAACTGGTCGGAAGTGTTCAGGGGCAAAACATTCATTTATTGTATTTGGTTTCGTGCGTGCACGGCATGGATTTATCTATCGTCAGGTGCGTTAATTATGTTTGCAAATTTAATCACGAATAAAATAGAAAGAGATTAGTCTTACTTGCAAGGTGCGGGAATCAACTTTGTAGGTACGTATTGTATCTGTAAATGTTTACTTCAGTTGAGTTAAAAAACTAATCTGATATTTCTCGTTTTTGTTTGCAAAAATCTCTTGCGTTAGGACTATTTAATTAAAGTTTTGCTAATATTTAATGTCTCCCTTACACATAAGTTTTGCAGAGCTTTGTTTTCTGGTGGCTTCACATCAGTGTCACATCGACTTCACTGTAATTAGCTGGTTCGACCGAACTGTTCAACACCAAAATTACCGCCTCAGTCGGCTTCTAAAGCGACCTAATCTACGACTAAAAAAATTTTGCCTGCTTTAAGGTCGTACAGCGTTCAAAATGAGAGCCTAAATAACAGCCCAAAGCGATTTTGGTTCACATTTGGGGTTTAACTGTCGACCAAATTTACAACCTAAAATATTTTGCCTGAATTTGGTCGCTTTTTGTTCATGGTGTTGGAATAAGAAACAAAAAAGGAAACAAATTTTTTTTGGCTCAAGCTGTTAGGTTCAGCTTTGGTTGATCTTTTGCTCTATGTTTCCATTTAAGGCCTTATTAAGGCCTTATTTTGGTTCAGTCAGGCCATAAGATTTCGTACGGGGTGCTGTCACTTAGATTTAATAAAAGATGAAGTGTCCTAGGGGGAATAGTGAAAAAGTTCAGTTATGTCTCCGTTTTGGAAGCCAGATTTCAAAGTAAGTCCTCACCCCTATATCTTTTCATTATACCTAAAATATGTTGATTGTCCAGATCAGTCTCTTTGGTAAGCCAAGGCTTACTCTCACTGCAGCACTCTCAAGTTTGGACTTGTACCTCTGAGGTTCCCCAATAGGTTTTTTTGGGATCTGGGATTTCCCTTAATTGAATCTCAGGTTTCAGGATCATAAAGCAAAATCCAGGTGAGATTCGGAATTGAAAGTATCATGGGAGGTGGGATGCCAAAAAAAAAATTCGGGATTACAGGATTGCACGAAATTTGGGGTCCGGGTTAGGGGATTGGAGAATCCTATTGGGGACCCTCTACCTCCTCCAGAAGAGGAGAACAAGACGTGTGGAGGAGTGGGGGCTCATTGCCTGAACAGCTTAATACTGGCTTCACTTGTGCTGACATCTGACTGTCTTTTTTGTGATGAGTTTAGTCACTTAAAAGTAACATTCAAAAATTATATTTTTGGTTTACATTTAATTTTAGTTTCAAATGTGGCCTCTGTGGGGCTTGAAAACACTACAATTCCCGCTTGTCCTTGGCCAAACGTTTTCCCATTTTGCCTGCATGAGGTAATTAGATGCATGTCTTTGTTTATGATTTAGTTAAAAGATGACTTGCCTTGCCCTCGCCCATTTGGCAAGTAAGTTAGGTATAAAAAATACTTGCCCAGCAGGAAAATCTAGTTGTCCTGGTCTACCAGACAAGGCTTTAATCAGCCCTGTTCGGCATCAAGCATACTTAACTAATACTTGAGCCTGTTCATGGGGAGATTTACGAGATGTTTTAATATTGACAAAAGATTACACAGTCTGTTTTCATTTTTTATTATTGTTGTGGGTAAATCTAAAGACACTCAACTTGTACTTTGAATTTCAATAAGCCTTTTCCCACCCCATTACTACATCTGAGCCTGGCTTACTACTTGTAAACTAAGCTTTAAGAGTATTTCGTTGTGCTGATAAAAGAACAAAGAACCACAAAATTAGTATGAGTGTCAGGTACAGTGGAACCCCGGTCTATGGACACCCGCTTAATACAGACACCCGGATATGACGGACGGTTTCGTTTGTTCCAATGAAAAAGAAGCTCATATATTTTCTTTAAATTTAATCCGCTTAATACAGACACCTGGTTAACACGGACACTGTGGCAGGTCCCATCGGTGTCCGTATTAATGGGGTTCCACTGTATGTGCATTTTGATGTACCAGTAATCTCTGCCACCATAGGGGAAATTCAAATGTTTTAGCTGTGAAATAAATAAACTGAAATGAATTTTAAAAACAAATTCTACCTTTAATTATTTTCGCCTTGAGGCCCAGAAAGTGACCATCGTGTAAAGTCTCCTAATAACGTCATTGCTTTGGGGAAGTAGAGAAGCACTGTCGTATAAATTCTTATTATAACCTTGCACACCCTTTTCCTAAGATTGATTAGAGTCAAAATTCTCCTTGGCCTGGGACCAGGCTACGCAGTGGAGGAAAAAGGAAAAAAACGGGTTCAAATACTAAAAAGCCAATGCAGAGCTTGGTCCCAGGCTAATTTCTCCTTGCAACATCTATTTTTTAGAAAACGGTGTGCTCGCAAGAATTAAGGACATGATCAGCCAAGATGAATTAAAAGTGTACTTAAACAACTTCTTCCTCTAATTTTATAGGAACGTGTAGTATGGGGTCGGATTACGGTCAAGTCGCCCGAAAGTCATCTCGCCCGAAGTCATGTCGCTCGAAACCAGAGTCATGTCGCCCGAAATTTATAGTCATGTCACCCGATATTTTGAGTCATGTCGCCCGAAATTTCATAATGCTCAAAAAGATTCTAAAATTGCTAGTCAGAGTGAAATGTGAAACTATGAAACTCAGGTTGTTCGTTTCGTTGTCGTTTTCATGGAGATAGTAAACCTAAAATAAAACACGAAATTAAAAAAACTAGTAATATCAGTTACAGTATGATTCTCACTGTTGTTTTTATATGTTGAAGTATTCTGTTTTGAAAGAAGGTCCACACCACTACGATTGGAACGTTGGAAAAGGCCGCCATCTTGACTACAGCACGTGCTCAAGAGTCATCACATGACTACTAAGCAAGATTGTGACGTTGCGGTAAATTCAGACGCGTATTAATACAAACATATTTATTGCTAGCAACTAAACCTACTTACACGCGAGGACGAGTGGGTTGTCCAAGTGACACCCGCCTCTTGAAAACAAATTCAAATGCCAACTTAAGGTAAGTTCGTGATAAAAAGAAATACTTATTACACGCGGGGACGTGTGCCGGGGTCGTCCAAATGACGCCCGCCCCTTAAAAAACAATCACATGCCTAGTACTACTTAAGTAATATTTGTAGTAAGCAATATCCCAGCGTAAAAATTAGCAAGATCCTATATCGGACTTTTATTTCGTAATGAAATAAACTATTCCTTTTAAACTAGAACAATAATAAATTATCAATTTCCCAAACACGAGCGATAAACTATAATAAACTATAATAATAATAATAATGAGTTCTAAACTAGCGCGATCCTATATATCGTGATAGAATAAACTATTTTTTTAAACTATAATAATAATATCATTACTTTTCTGAACGCGAGCGAAAACAAAAGAAAGCTAATCAGTACGAACTAGTCCATGGGCTAAGTGAGAGCATGCTTCAAGGAGTCGCCTACTTGTCATCCAGGACGAAATCTAGGTCGACTGGATCTTCTGGCCTTTGACGTTGCCGCAGTCTGTTTGCCCGTCTGGCAATGTAACTGGGTTTGGGAAGGGCATCACACGGGGCGGAGTTGAGTTCACCTAAGAGCACCTGTAAATGGAATGAGAAAGAAAACACAAAGCAAGATTCACCTTCCTTATACTTGTGTTGAATAGGTTATTTGTTTGGAATTCTCACCTCTTGGACGATTGCAGAGGCCGGCTTGAAAACATCCTGTAACGCCTGCCAATAGGTGGTCTCTTTCCCGCGCTCTTTAACATTGTAGGTGAAGCCCCTTGAGTCAATCAACTTCTTTTTTCGATGGATGCTCCCATCATCTATTATTCGGTAGGTCAACTGCTCTGGGACCGGGTCGACGGAATGGATAGTTGGCTCGGCTAATGATTCTTCTTCTAACACAGTTGGTAGAGTGAACATTTTTACGAGTTTATTCCTTGCGATTTACTGTAAGATGTTACTTTTCTTCAAGTTTATACACTCGATAGAAATTGCGGGCGACATGACTATGTATTTCGGGCGACATAACTATGGTTTCGGGCGATATGACTTCGGGCGAGATGACTTTCGGGCGACTTGACCGGTTACCATGGGGTCAACATTGACAACAAATGAGAATCACACTGGTGACTTGTTGTACCCAAGTTAGTCTGGATAGCATTCGTCCCCTGGGCCCAGTTGCATAAGTCTGAACGTCAGTTGTACCTTTTAACTTTTAATGTACAACCCAGTTTGACTCTCTATTTTAACGTCCGACATTAGTGATCTTAAGCAACGAGAACGCTGACGATCGGACGCCATGAATACAACCAGAAGTTCAATGTCTCGCTTGGTGGAACAGTTTTGTCTCACACTATGAAACTGAATGCCTTTGTTTTAGCTCCCGCTGTACGAATTTGTCGAGTCATAGCACTGAAAGAGAGAAAATATCAACTTCCGGTTTCCATTTTTGACGTCAGGGACGTCAACGTTCTCGTTGTTTAAGGTGCCCAACTGACCCCTAAGGCTTGGAAGCGTAGTCTTACTTAGATCAATTTTCGTTTTGCTGTGTAAATAATATTCCCACGGGCATGCCTTAAGGTATCAGAGAATGCACGAGAGTTGGTCAAATTCAGCGTGATTACAGGTGTTGTCGTTGTCATGCATCATCCCTTCCTGCGCTTTGGGAAGAAACAACTGTTACCCAGGTAAAACCCTATTAAGGGACTGTTACATATCAATTCCTTTTTTATGTTAGGTATCAATTACTGAACTTTTTTTTGCCAAAGAGCGGTCGAATGCACAATTCATTTGACCACAGCAGAGTTTTTTATTAAAGGTTATACAACCACTAAAAAAGTACCTTTAAAGAAAGGACCACCTTTCAATCGATGAACGGGAACGTACTTTGTCCACAAAGTTGACTAGAGGAAACATGAATCAGACCTTAGTGAACAAGTTAACACGTAATGATCAGATGATGATGCAAATTTGTAAGTTCACTGCGGTACGGTCACTTAGCTTTCCTTTCCTGATGGCTTCGGTACCATCCTGATACTCCTTTCCTTGTTTACCGTCGGTGTGGTCAGGACTCCGCTTCTTTAGCCTAATGGCGAGAGCACGATCCTGATACTCCTTTGCTTGTTCAAGGTCACCTAATTGCTGGTGTATATCACCCAATTTAGAGTAAGTAGTTGCAACATCAGTGTGGTCAGGACCCAGTTTCTTTAGCCTTATGGCGAGGGCACGATCCTGACACTCCTTTGCACTCTCAAGGTCGCCTGATTTCTGGTGTATAACACCCAAGCTATAGTAAGCAGTTGCAACATAATTGTGGTCAGGACCAAGCTTCTGTAGCCAAATGGCGAGAGCCTGATCCCCGTACTCCTTTGCACGCCCAAGGTCACCTAATTGGCGGTATATTAGACTCAAATGAGCGTAAATAGTTGCAACGTTAGTGTGGTCAGGACCCAGCTTCTTTAGCGTAATGGCGAGGGCACGATCCTGATACTCCTTTGCTTGCTCAAGGTCGTTTAGTTTGCAGTGTACATCGCCCAGTATTCTGTAAGTAGTTGCAGCATCAGGGTGGTCAGGACATGTTTTAAGCTGAATTTCAAGAGCAAGGCCCAGATACGTCTTCGCACTCTCCAGCTCACCCATCTTCTTGTGAGTATATCCCAAGTTACAGTAACTCCTTGCAACGAAAAAGTGGTCTGGACTGAGCTTTTTGAGGTATATTGTTAGAGCACGATCCTGATACTCCTTTGCCTGCTCATGGTCACCCAATCCCAGGTGTATAAAACCCAAGTGAGAGTAAGTAGCTGCAACTTCAAAATGGTCAGGATCCAGCTTCTTTAGCTTGATTTCAAGAGCACGATTATGAAACTCCTTGGCATGATCAAGGTCACCTAATTTCTGGTGTAGACTGCCCAAGCGATTGTAAATCGATGCAACTCTAGTATGATTAGGGCTGACATGTTTCAAAAGAATGCTAAGTGCACTTTCATAGTACTTTCCTGCTATATGAAACTCACAGTGTTCAGTACAAACCACGCCACATTTTAAGTATGAATCAGCATACTCTGTTAACCTTGTTTCCTCTGTGACATAACATGCGTTTTCTCCTGAGAACAGAGGTTCGTCAATCATAATGAAGGCTTTTAAATGCGGGACAATGTGTACGGTATCTGCGTACAGTCGGTTGTACTCGGGAAAAGCATCAATAAACTGACAAAATGATGTCACAGCTGCATTCGCTGTTTGATGTAGTTTTTGTTTCTCCGACTGTTCTTTCACTAAATTTTTGATGGCATCATGCACCACCTGGTGTACACGAATAAAGGCTACGTCTTGGTCCTCTTCAAATAACACAAGCGAACACCTCTTGATTCTCATGCAAATCGACTCTTTATCTGCGGCTTGTTCATCCACTTTGATAATGTAACTGTTTACAATGTCCAAGCTTAACGGTTGTGAGGAACACAGAGAAAGCAAAGTGAACGTTTGATCTATAATTTTGTCGGATAACATCGCATTTTTAACAGCAAGTGTTGTCGCTGAAGTCATGGACGTTGGGTAGCTTAGATTGCTTTGTTCAAGAAATTCTTCTGTGGTGCTTCGTTGTCCTCTTTGCACTTTTTCTAAGTAGTCGACCCAGTGGAAGGTGGAAGTGGCTTTGTTCTGTCGAACCTGGTTAACAAAAGTTGCAGCGCTTGCTAATGCAAGAGGTTGATAGTCCAACGTTTTCGCTACCTCTTTCCCCATCTCACAGTCAGCGATACCAGATAGCACCGCTAATAACGAACGACAATCATCAACATCCATACCTCTGCTTATAGAGAGATGCTTAACAAAGGAGTTCGTCGAAGGAATGGATTTAACGTCCTGGGTTGTAATCAGCACCTGGCCATTCGACCACTGTTCGTTTCCGCGTTCTGGCAGATAGGCATGGACCCAAGACATACTAGAGACATTGTCCACCAGCAGCAGCCAGGTGGTGTACAAATCGATTTTCGTTGCAAGTAGCGTTTTCAAATTTGCGATCTTCTCTTCAATTTTAATATCCCTGGAGTTAAGGGTGTTTGTAACTGCATATTCAGGACACCTCACCTGTCGAACGAAGGAAGCGTACGACTCCAGAAGTGAATCAGGGCTTGCAGCATTTAACGTCATCACACATGGGGCAGCAGATGGAATTGCCATTGCTTCGTCGAAAAAGCGCTTAGCTACGAGACCTGCCAACTGTGATTTGCCACTTCCAGGATTCCCAGAGATGTAGAGGTAACTGATGTCATTTTTGTTAGCCTCTTTTAACTCCTTGAGCTGTTTTGTTATTTCATTTGCCTCGCGATTCCGTTCTGTCACATGATGTGAAGGCTTGGGAGGAAGTACGCAAAACGGGGAGATTTCTTTTTCTAGCTGATCTTCAAGAACTTTTCGTTGTTTTTTTTCTTGTCGAAGTTCTTCTTCAAGATCGTCAACCTTCTTCATGATGAGTCTTAACTCCTCCGTGGGAAAACTTGTCTGATTTTTGACGTCATCTATCTGCTTAGTGGAGCTGGAAAGGCCGAGAGATTGAAATGCACCACGTACTTGACTAATGGCAGTTTGAAAGTCTGCGTCTGTTAGAAAGCCTCGTGGCATGTGAGCGAATTCTTCGTTTCTGAATTTTCTTAGAACGTCTACGCTAGTCTTGACTGCTGTGCTGAGACCTCTTCCAATACAGTCAGAGTAAAGAATGGCGTAAAAAAGCATAGTGCAGTCCCACTGGGCTCTAACCCCATTTTTTATAGTCACCAGTAGATGCGCGTTTCGTTTTTGATTCCGCGGCGACTCGCTGTTATAGAAATCCATCCCACTTTTGGGGTCATCTTTCCACTCTCCCAGAGTAGCCTTGTAGCGCCTATTCCATTCTTGTTTGAATACAGACCGCAGACCCTCTGTTAATATATCAGTTGTTACAAAGCAAATTCTGTAATAGTTCAGTTGTTCTTTAGTGTATTCTGGTGAAGCGGCCATCTTTAGTTGGCTTTCTTTTCATGTAGCCGCCATAACCTTTTGAAAAAAAGAGATATTATCTTCAGTTGTTAGGGTTTTTCTCTGCGGTAGGGGGGAGCGGGGTAAGTTCTTTTTTGGCTGCTTTTGTGAATATGAGGATTTTGAACAACAGTCTCCTAAGGCCTACGTATCTTTGCAAACTATAGTTTGACAAAGTATCTCCAGTTAAATTGAGTGAGGAAAGAATGAATCAGATTTCTTTCATATGAAAAAAATTGAAATGACATACGTAGACGATAAAGTTTCATGTTCAGATATATCTAATGCAAGCGACTCTTGTCCCCGGCAAGACGGCAGATCACTCGTTTCCTTATCTGGAACTGACGTTTGACACCTTAAGAGTTTTACACAATAGGGTCATTTATACGAGGAAAAATAAGACGCGTCTTACATAGGACGCGTCTTAAATAAGACGCGAACTTTCCGTGTAAACGGCACATTTTGTCTAAAATAAGACGCGGCTTAGCTAAGACGCGTCTTATTTTAGAACAGCCCTTAACACCTGTTCTTAGATAAGACGCGTCTTACCTAAGACGAGAAAAACTTCGTATAAATGACCTTCGCGTCCTATATCGAACGCATAGTACGCATGCGTTAATTTTTGGCGCGCCACGGTAGATTGCCGTTGCTACGGGCAACATTCACATGAAAACGAGTCAAGAACAGAAATAAGACGCGAACCATTTATACGAGCTGCTCTCGTCTTAAATAAGACATGCTCGTATAAATGGTACAGTTCGCGTCTTATTTTTCCTCGTATAAATGGCCCTAATGTTGCACTCCTTGTTATTCGTATCTTTTGTAGGTAACTGATTCAAAGAGTATACCCATTTTTTGGTTTGGGAAACAAAGTTTGTGTACTTTGAAAGGAGATGTCTCTTGAATAGAGGCGTTACTTCAAAAAGGAGCACTTAAGGGGTGGGGGGAGGGGTAAAGTTTTCGTCCCTTAAATGGAGGTAAACCTCGGTTCTTACATGTCTCAAAGAAGTCTCGCTTTATTACTCTGAAATTATTTTAGTTGAAGTACTAAAGCACTATTCAATATACCTGAATGAGACTCTGGAAAAAACTTGTTGGTAACCAACACGTTTTTTCCAAAAAAAAATTATTCAATGATGTCAGTTTAAAAACTTTCATATCTCTGTATACGCTTGTAACCTTGACACTCTTACTCAAAACGTACGCAAAAGGGTTTCTGGTCCAAAAGTACTCCCTGTTCTAGATGCTAAATGGTAAAATTGCATACCCTGTTTAAGACTCAAGAGCCTGAAAACCACACAAAACAGCACGGTCTCAGATTCAATGTTCAAAGATTTTTTAGGTGTTTTCTTCTCTTTCAGCGTAAAGTGAGTGAAATACGCGGTCGCGCGTGAAGGTCACGTCCCGAGACACTCGCTTTGTGAATGTAGCATCTTTCACTTCGGAACAATTCATCCTCAGTTAGCAACCCTTTATTCTTAATCTACGGCCATCGATCACCCTGAACTTAAGTATCAACCATTACTGAATCACCGACTGTTTAAACTATAAGGCATGGAGTAGATCGTAAGCGCATAAATATCAGGTCTCTGAAACGACTAAAGCGAGGACAAATACTGGCATAAAATCATCAACTGCGAATAATTCCGTTTAATATTTTCTTTGTTTACTAATATAAAAGCCACCAAGGAGAGATCGCAGGGAACAAGAACAAAGAAATATTCCTAATAACTTCTAACTTACTAAAAGGCAGTTTCCAGAGTTTCGTCACTGGAAACATTGAGTATTCTCTCTCTCTTGAAAATGAGTGAAGACAGGAAGTCAGATCATCCTAATTTTATACAGCGATTGGGGCGAGATATTTGACTCAATCAACTGTTAAGAGAATAATAGTTGCATACTTACCCTTCGCGAAAAGAGAAAAAGTCGGGTAAACGCGAGTTAGTAACAGTTAGGATGAGGAAACAAACGGACAAACAAGGCGTTGAGGGTGTTGTCGAAAGTGAAACACACACACGCAGGATATTTTTGACATGACCTCGGTGTTTATTTCATACAAAAGACGAGATCAAATGCGCCCCGACCTGGTTTGATATAATTGAGGATAAAAAAAGAAGGCCAAGAAAAAGAGGAGAATGAAAATCGGGAATTGGAGATGGGCAGAAAGTGAAGGTGGCTTGAAAAAATGAAACACGAAAAGAAATTCTTGAATTACCCAACCACAGTAAAAAAAAAGATAACTATGAAGAATAAACAAAGACACTCACTGCCGATGTTTAAACATCCGGGGGAAAATCTCATAAAATGCCTGAAATCGTCTAACTTAACGGAGGTTACAACGGTGAGTAAGAAACGAGCAATGGACTAAATTATAATTGCGATTGAAATCCATTATGGGAATAATTTCTTGGAGCATGTTCAGACAGCAAGATGTATAATGATTAAACTGAAAATGTTCAAAACTTAAAAGAAATCCCGTAGTTACTATGTAGGAATATTTTCGATTCCGCAATTTAGCCTGCTTGACAGGCGCAAAAGGTGGAGGGAGAGGGGGGAGAAAAACTGAAGCGAAAGCGAAAGGGTAAGTCCCTCCTCCTCTTTCCCCAGCCCCTTCCCCTCTTTCCCTCCCCCACCCCACTACCCTTTGCCGTGCAGGCTACAGAAATAGCCTGCTTGACAGGCGCAAAAGGTGGAGGGAGAGGGGGAAGAAAAACTGAAGCGAAAGCGAAAGGGTAAGTCCCTCCTCCTCTTTCCCCAGCCCCTTCCCCTCTTTCCCTCCCCCACACCACTACCCTTTGCCGTGCAGGCTACAGAAATGCAATATTTTTTTACTTTTCACCCTTTCCCACCCTGCCAGCAGAGCCTTTCGTTCGCTTTCTCGGTGAAAGACTATGCATGAATTGATTACATGCATTGTGTTAGATCTTTACTGAGCACGCGCGGCATGTTGCTAGGATATAGTTTGGAACCCAGGCCTAATACCCTCAATGAACAGACGGCTTGACTCGAATAAACCAGTTTGACCAAGTACAGAAAACAAGAATAGCTAGTCCAGAAGACCTCAAAGGAGGCTCTGTTCGCAGGGTGCCCCGCACTCTCCCTGACACAGCTGACTTAGGCGCGGTTGTACCAGTAGTTTCTGGGGGCGTAGGAGCATGGTGCGCTAGGAAGATCAACAAAGAAGTTCCAGCTCAGATTAACCCTACTGTGATACTGTGGCATACCAACTCCTTACCCTTTTCACTGCGAAAAGTGGTCGAATTCAATATAAGCGAGAACAGAAACTCATAAGGGGTTGAACAACCCCTTATGGGTTTCTGGCGAGAATTAATTAATGCTGTAAATAAACAAACTATCCTTCAAATGGTAAAAATGAACGAAAAGTTATCCACTCGACTCAGATTCTTAGTGAATAGGTTAAGATAAGGGTTGTCCTTAGGCACGATTTCCAAAGCGAAAGAGAGACGTCTTCTCGCACGACGTGATCTTCCCGCACGCCCGCGTGTTTCACCCACATTCAGTTTCAATTTACTCATTTTCCAGAAAAAAAAATTCAGTCATTCAATACGTTACAAAAAAATAGTTGAAGGTTAAAAGTGACGCAAATTAGGAATGGCGAGGAAGCTCAAATTGAAACCGTGGGGCTTATTACTATGTGCGACCTCCTAACCTAAGACTATAGACAACCATCAACCATTATTGATCATCAGTGATTGTTAAAACGAGAAGGTGCTAGGCGAAAGCGAAGACAAATGTTCGCCTAAAATCAGTGCCGTTATTTCTTTGTTTACAAATATCAAGAAGAGATCAGAGTGAACAAGGAAAAAATCCTAATATCCTCTACCTAAAAAGCAGTTTCGTCACTACCAACATTGAGATATTTTCGTTTTCTTGAAAATGGGTAAAGACAGGAGGTCAGATCACGCTAATTTCACATGGCAATTGGGTAAGTCAGTACCTCATCTTTCGACATCGTACTGCTTAAAAAAGCACGACTAAATAACACATTCCTCTGTTAAAATGCTTAAATGAATCAAATGTTCGAAAAGGTGCATACTTACCTTTTGTGAAAAGTGAAAAATCGTTTAAACGGCACAAGTTAGTAGACAGTCTTAGTATGGGGCAACAAACAGACAGCCAAGGCGCTGCAGACGTTGTCGAAAGCGAAAGTACTTGGTTTTGTGAAACACACGCAGGATACGGTATTTTTGACGTGACCCCGATGTTTATTTTGTAACCAAGCCGAAATCAAATACCGTAAAATTCAGAAAATAACCCCCTCCATGTATAAGCCCCTCCAAATATAAGCCCCCTAAACCGGTAACGTGAAAAACCCTCCGTTAAATCGACCCTCCAATTATAAGCTCCCCGGGAGCTTGTACTTGAAAAATTGCCTTCAAATACAAAGTAAAACAAAGCAAAAACGGTAAATTTCCTTCCAACTATAAGGCTAGCTCAATCGATTTGGAAGCGCAAATTTCCCTCCGTAGCTAGATAAGCCCCTCCGAATATAAGCCCCTCCAAAATGGGCCTTTGAAAAATATAAGCCCCTGGGCTTATTTTCGGACGTTTACGGTACTCACTGTCGGACCCGGTTTAATATGTCTAATATAACTGTGGATAGTAAAAGACCCCAGGAAAGAATGGGGAAAGAAACTCAGGAATTGGAGATGATGAGCGGAAGCCGGAAGGTGGCTTGAAAAGGACAATTTTGAAAAATCAATCTCAGGAGCAAAAGATAACTATGAAAAATAAATAAAGACACAATTACTGCCGATGTTCGAACAGTCGGCGGAAGACCTCATAAAATGTCTAAAATCGTCTAACATAACGGAGGTTACACAGGTGAGTATTAAATTTGGGGAAGCCAGTAAACTGGTGTGACCATTAAGAAACGAGCACAATGGACCGAGACTAAGTTAAAATTGCAATTGAAATCCATTATGGGAATAATTTCTTGGAGCATGTTCAGACAGCAAGTTGTATAATGATTAAACTGAAAATATTCAAAACTTGAAAAGAAATCCTAAACTTATTATGTAGGAATATTTTCGATTCCACAATTTAGCCTGCTTGACAGGTGCAAAAGGTGGAGGGAGAGGGGGGAGAAAAACTAAAGCGAAAGGGTAAGTCCCTCCTCTCTCCCCAGCCCCTCCCCATCTTTCTCTCCCCCACCCCACTACCCTTTGCCATGCAGGCTACAGAAATGTGATATTTTTAACTTTTCACCCGTCCCCATCCTGCCAGCAGATCCTTTCTTTCGCTTGGTCCATTTAGGCTCACTCAAGAAAGACTCTGAATCATGAATTGAGTAAGGTCTTTCTTGAGCATGCACAGAATGTTTCTAGGATATAGTTTCGGACCCAGGCCTAATAGCCGTGTGTTTGCTACAGCGGACTCGGTTATGACCATCGGTTTATCAATAAACAGATGCTTGCACTCGAAAAAAAAAATAGTTTGACGTTTAGACCCCCCTCCCCCTCCCTCAAGAAAAATCGGAGATTTTTCCTGAGGGGAGGAAGGGGTCTGTACACAGGCTAGTACTTTAGCAACACTGGCTAATAGCCCATTTTACAGTTACGGGTGAAAACGAGGCTGGAGTTGACCTTGTTTTGATACAACCCTTCTTGCTTTATTATGTAAATCATGTTCTTCTTATGCTAACTAGTATTATTTAAGCAAAATGATCAAGAAAAGAACGAGGTTTGCATCAAAACAAGGTCAACCTCACCCTCATATTTGCACAAAGGTTTGGATAAGAAGTCCACAACTGTAAAATAGTCTATTGTAGACATTGTACCCTTTTCAAAAAATGACAGATTTCTATGGGTTAATACGATTTTATAGCTTAAAAAAGCGTTTGATTTTAAAAAAATCCGTCTTTCTTCCCGTGTTCGGCCCTTGTACCGGTTACCCTTCCGGCAGTAAGTTTACTGCCTCCTACTACACAAGTTTCACTCCTTTGGCGTTTTGCTGCTGTTTTTTGCTCATCGTTCCTACCCTTAAACAAATGAGCTTATAATTTAGAAACCGCTAGAAATATTTTTTAAACAATTTGAGATTGAACTCGAATGGGTCTTTTTGGCGGAAATTTCGTGTTTTTAAGTAAGAGCCTCTTATTATCCAGACTGTTATCTCCAGCGGTATATTAAATTTTAAGGTTATTAAGTTTCCAGTGATCTTGAAACTCAGAGGTCATAAAACAAAGATTAATTTCGAGAATGTACATTATTTTTTGCTATGGTTATCTCGCCTTGACCGAGTTGGCCCGGGGCGAGCCAAAGTGTTTACATGTAGAAAAGTTTGCTTGGCTAGGTGAGTCACCCTTCTAGCCGCCAGAGCAAACTTAGTATTGTTTCTAAGGGGGAAATGTAGGAAAAGTTGGCTCGCGCCTAAAGTGGGACAAGTTTTCTCCATATAAATGGGACCAAAAAGGACTCTTTAAAGTAAAGGAAGAGAAATTAAATTCAGGAATGACGAATTCCGTAAGTGAGTAACTAAGTAAGTATCTACCATTTATTACATTAAGAAGTAAATTAATTATTGAATTAAGATTCAGCGATAGCACTTCTGTTCCAATGTATTTTATAGAAGTTTTTTATCTACCATTCCCAATAGCATTACAACTTGGAAGTATATTTCATTGATTTCTGTACATTTCAAGGAAAATGTCAATTGTTAAAGGGACAGTGTCCCGATTATGCGCACGCGCGAGCGTCGTCTGTTTTTTCTTCAAAAGACAATAGAACTGTCAAATTGACTCAACAAGATTTCCTTCCGGACCTTCTTCGTAGTCAAAATACCATGAATGTATAAATACTCTCCATAAAAATGTTATTCTTTGGCATCAAGTGTCCATAACTTCACAGTACTTCGGGCATGCACTTTGTGAAAAGGAATCATGCTACAGCAAAAGAAAACGAGCTCACACATAATGGGCCACTGGGCTCAGTCGCATACATGCAAACGTGACCTACCTACCTGATCCTTGTATTTACAATGATTATACTTAAGTAATTGGATGAGCGCGTTTTACTACGTGTAGTACTCCCAGACCTCATGCCAGAGAGAGGGTGGCGAGTATGTAAGGGTTTTCTAAGACGTCGAGGCCAAGCTCTTTCTATATACATTATACAGTGGAACCTCGATATAACTAAGGCCCAAAGGACTGGCAAAATTTGTTCGCTATAACGAGGCTTTGTTATATCTTGGTTCTTTTTCATATATTTTACTATTACTGGGGCAAAGAAGATTGTTCGTTACATCTAGGACTTCGTTGTATAGAGGCTCGTTACATCGAAGTTCTACTGTACAAGAATGTAACGCACGTATTTATCCCAGTCTTTTCATTTGGTTGTACACGAACAAAGAAGCCAAAAAAACAAATAGGCGGTAAGAAGTAGGAAGTAGACTACTGTCGATTCAGTCAAAAGAAAAACGTAAAAACCAAATTCAGTAACAACAAAATTCTCGTGCCAAATCTCTAAGCCCCACGGTCCTGTCACACAGGGCTTTTTTCAGATCATTGTAGGTGGCATCTTTGCCGAACTTTTGTTTCCAAGCTAACAACATAGCTTATGCTTTTTCGGATATTTGTTCATTGTCGTTATCAAATTCATCCAACTGTGCTTCATGGAAGTTTAACCGCCGCCCAAGCTTTCTCCAATCTCTACGGCGGATTTTGTTTGATAGACGCTCTAGCACACTTTCCGTTGGACTGCCTTCCATCACTGCACTAGACTGACGAGTAAGTTCCGACGAGTCTGACCGATCCGTACCCTTAGTGCAGGGTGTTCTTAAGTGCAATTTACACAATGGCTCTTGGGGTTTTCTAAAAAACTCCACTCGTGCTATGTTTTCGCCATCACGAAAACAAACCTCCAACTCAGCATCGTCTGGATCGTTCTCTAAAACCCTAAGGTACATTTCCTCCATGTCACTCTTTATATAAGGGTATATTCCTCCTGATACAGACACGGATGCCTCGTCGTACCCAGGTGTCATATCTTTCTTTGAGTTGTTGCAAATAGGCATTATGCCTTGTTTTTCGAGTTTCATTTCCACCTCCCCTTTAATTTGAGCAGGGCAACAAATCAGACGCAAAATATTTATAAGATCCGGACGAAAGTAAGCAAAGAAGACTGTTAGTCTGGGCTGAACAAAAATGCGGCTTTTAAGGAAATTTATAATTCTTTTTACATAAAACCTGGAGTATTCGTCTCTCCTCTCAACATATGTTGAATATCCAGAGAACCGTTTCACATGGAACCTTACGAACCTTCGATCCAGACTTGGTGGGTTCACAAGATTATCAGTGATATCGATCCATTCTTTTTGACCATTATCGGACTTGAGGAACAGCACTCTGACGTGACATGTTGTGGGACTCAGATTCATGTCTTCCTGCTCTCGAAGAGAAATTGGCAGCTGAATAGTGACAGGTTTCAAGAACTGAACAGCTTCGACGCATTTAATTCGCAATACAGGTCCAAGAAATTTACCATCCCCTTCAAAATCTTCATTTAGAACTTCTTGCACCTTTAACTCCACCGAAAGCTTTGAGTTAGGTGCAACAGCATTTTCAGGGATAGCAATCATCACGCCCGGGAAGTCAGGATGGCTTAAAGAGCCGCCACAAGATGTGATGGTGTAAGTTGGGGAAGCCTTTAGACGACTAACTACTGCGTATGTTGAGCACTCAGATATATCAGCTTGAGCAACGGGAAAGAGAAAGTCCGGAATTTTCATGTGGGAAGGGTGGTTGTCTTCGAAGTCTTGACGACAACGTATGCTCCTTGTTCCATCCAGGTCTTGCCAATTATTCGTCTCCTTGTCAATCAGCTTTTTTATCACTAACTCGTAGCCCTGTAGGTCTGTTGCGCTGTGGGATAGCGACAGCGTCACTTTGGAGTTAAATTTTAGATCTGGGCCATTCATAAAGGATAGTTCAATAACATTGCTAGTGATGGCTTCATGCTCCTGCAGCGTGGGTGAACAGATACTGTATTTGCATCTGCGGACCACTATTGACGTGCGCTCAGATACAGCATCAGGAGGGAGCATCAGGTGAATACCCCACGGTTTGAAGGCCCACCTGGTACCTTCACTTGTTACCATTGCTCCAGATTCTACTTCAAAAAATATTTCCCCTTCTACATTATCTTCAGCTCCAGGTCCTTCATCAGACTTCTCATCCGCCTCTTTTTTCGATCCTCCACGGTATCTTGCACCCATGGCCTCCTCACTTGCCAACTCAGCCACCTTCTCATGTACTTTAGCAACTTCTTCTGACTCTTCTGTTAGCACTCCTCGTGATTCTACTTTAGTGCCCTGAGCAGATACAAAAAACAAATTGTTACGTGTTCTATGTTGTTTATAGCCTGCGGACACAGACGTATTTCCGGTCGTCGCTTCTCTCCAATCGAGTGGAGAAAAGCGACGACCGGAAATACGTCTGTGTCCGTAGGTTATGTTGTTTAAGGTGTTGCAGAACAAACACCTATAATAAACCTGTTGACTTCCACACTGCAATCACCTTCTTTCTGGCTATCTTTCTTTGTTTCTAAACCAATTTATCGGTTCGAATTTGTTAACATGGTGTTTCCCGCCAAGGCCGCCACAGGCAGACAGCCCAGGAACAGCCCTAACAGTGGGTGGGTGGCCTTTGGCTGTAGGCAAAAGCAGTGAGGTAGGGAGAGGGTCTTTTGAAACCACTACTTCAATGTCGGGCTTAAGCATTGTTTACTTGAGGCTTTGACTGGGAATTAATTTGTTTCCTTTTGCCCCACCTAGCTCAATCAGCCTTCTGCTGGCAACTATCATGATAATTGCAAAGGTCAGGCGGATGAGCAAAAAGCGACTGAGTCTAAGTTTGAGTGAGGCGGGTGAACTATTGGTAATTCATATCCATAAATCATTTACATAAATTCAGTTGGATTTAGTTAAATTAAGCATCTTAAGAAAGATGCTTAATTACAACGTTAGTGTTACTTACTAGTTATTGCTATCGCTAAGTGCCAACGAGTAAAGATTTTACGCGCTATTCAATTTGTTGAGAAATCAGTGAAAAATGTCATGAATTACCGCAATTTACGAAAAATAGTTTGAACTCAATTCGATTGCATAAGCGAAAATTGCCTTGACATTAGTGAAGTAAACTGTTCTACCGCATAAAGATGTTTAAATCCCTACTTTACATAGCATACTTTCGAGATATTAAAATTCGTGTTTTTGTCCGAAGTTGCCCACAGATCATTTGGCGTAAAATTTAGTGGTCTTATAAAGTCTATAAGCAAACTTACAACCCTCGAAAAAATCATATTAAAATCTGCGAATATTCAACGTACAGATCTATATTTGGTATCTAATTTAAAGCTAAAAAAATTTATGGAGCCCGGATGAAGCCTTCCGAATTATTTTTGCTTCGACACAATACAAAGACACAATAAATTTTGCGGCGCTATTATTTTTCTTAGCGGCGGGCAATTAAAAATTCTAGCGGACCAATCCGACAGGCATACCCGTATGATGCAAATGCAGTGTTTTAAACACTGCAGCAAGGCTTGTTTGTTGCGCTCCGCGCTTCAGCCATATTACACCACTGATGTATGAGCTACATTGGCTTCCGTTAAAGCAGCCCTTTCATTTTAAGATTTTGTTATTTGCATTCAAGGCTATCCATGGTATAGCCCCTACATACATTCAGAACTTAGTCTCCTTGAAATCGCAAGGCACATATAACCTTAGATCGTCAGGTGGGATTTTGCAAGCATCGTCAACATTTAGAACTAAGGTCACACTAGGCGATAGGTCCTTCCAGGTGGCTGCGCCCAGGTTATGGAATGCTCTACCGCGTGAGCTTTGCGATATTCCAAACTTGCAAACTTTTAAGAGCAATCTTAAGACTTACCTTTTTAAGTTTGCTTATGGTTGAATGAATTTTAATTATTACATATCGATATTTTAGATTTTTATGGTAAAAGTGTATATATTCTTATTGTTTTGCTTACTGTAAATAGGTTTGTAGTTTTTTTTTATGCTTTTATTACTGATGTAATGCGCATTTGATCATTTTTATGAATACCTGCGCAATATAAGTAATTAAATTATCATTATTATTATTATTGTTATTATTATTACCATTATTATGCTCTGTTCTGCATTACGTCATAAAAGTTACCTTACATTACTATATAAGGAGGATTCGAGATTTTTTCTGCTTTGGAACTTTCGCGCACGGCTCTATTAGGTTGCCGCATCACAGCCTCGCGTCTTCGCGAGGCTAGGCTGCTCGTTTGCAATGAGTAATTTGACAAATCATCACTGGAACTAATAAGTACTTTGCTCGATTTGCAATAACTTTCTGAGCTTTTTCCGATTCTGAAATAAAGAATACCAGAATAAGGTACTTCGAGAAAACCTCACACCACACAGCATTCATTTCACACACAATCTCACGTCCATGGTTAAATCGGGAGCATACTTAACCACGATGGCGACGGCAGCGAAAAGTTTGATCTCATACACAGACTGGCCCTTGTCGACGAAGCCAAAGAATCCGATTTGTGCACGTGGTCACCTGATACTAAGAGCGCATGCTTAAGATAAATTTTCAAAGCGTCGGCCATGTTAAACGACGAATAATTGGATAGAGCCGCGAAGTTTTTTGTATTATCAAATTCAAAGGGACAATTAGTTTCAAAATATGTAACACTGAAGATAACGGATGTACCGCCGAAACATGTCTGGAAAATTAAAGAAAGTTGTTGTGTTTATGCGACAATTACAGTCAAACCAGGTCAAGCGTACCCCCCAAGAGTACATTAATGAATTTATTATTCAAAAGTTGAATCCGTTGCTAGTTGTAGATTTCAGATTGATCTCTGCATTCTTGCATGTGTAATGAGCCGTGAATTCACACGCGAGGCAGTTATAAAATTTCTACCAGCTCCATTTTCCTGAAATTGATGTAAATGTCTTCTAAGAAGCTTAATCCATTCAAAGATTTCCAATCTGACCAAATACAGAGAAGTTCTCGTAAAATATTCACTGCTCATTACGCAATGCAGAAATGCCGCTTTGAATTTGACCGGCAGCACTAAAACACGGAATCCGGAATCCGGAAACGGAAACGGAATCACGGAAACGGAAACGGAAACAGAATACGGAATCAAATATCGATGATAGAAAATTAAAGAATTTCACAATACACAATTTAGTACAATCCAAAGAGAATTTGTCTTAGTTTTCTTGGCAGTTCCCTTAAATATATTCTTGTTATTGTGTCTTGATAAGGTTTGCCGTAGTGTGGGTTACTGTACTGCAAGGCCGATGAAAGTAATTTTACGAGTAATTTTTATTCACGAGTTCATGGGTTGAATAATACAGTTAAATATTACTTTTGTAGCTAATTGTCAAGAATAGTCGAAGTTAGCCTCAGACCACACCACGTGATTGTCCCCAAACTGAATACTCCACACATGACCGACCGGTGACGTGACCACAGTTCCGGTGTTTTAGCAATAAGTTCAACTTTTTCGCCAAGCTGAATACTGATGGAATACTGGTGTACCGGTAATTGAGTTTACGTGGACGTCCGTATTTTTGTTGAAGAGGCTTATTAAACATGGCGCATTATTTTGATGTAATCGGTTGCGGAATCAAGCAAATGCATGCACAATTCTCTCTTCTCTGTGGACTCCACAATGCCATGGTTCTCTTGAGTAAGTTGTCTTGATAAATAAAACTGAACACTGTTGAAGACAACCCAGAAAAGACACTGAGAAAAACTTGACGGCGACGCCTTTCAGTTATGTAAACGACGCCTCAGACGATTCAAACGAAGTCTGTCTCCATATAACTTACCTTTTTGTTAAGGCACTAGTTTTTGTCAGTCACGTTTTTCTCCTCGCTTTGCTGTCCCATGAGAATTTGCATTCATTGCCGACAGTGGTATCAAGCGTCTTTTCACCGGAATCGACTCCTCTAGTGACACAGCAGTCTCCTCTCCTGTACTCAGCTAATTTATTCATTTGTGCCTTTTTTTTTTTTCTGTTTATTTATTTCATTGTCATTGCTAATATTATTTTTTTCAAATCGATCGCTTGGAACCTTCTTTCACAGATTCCGTATTCCGTTTCCGTTTCCGTTTCCGTTTCCGATTCCGGATTCCGTGTTTTAGTGCTGCCGGAATTTGACACCAGTTACGGGAACGACAAACGGATTCATTTTTCAAATAATCAATTCATTAATAGAATCTTGGGGGGTACGCTTGACTTGGTTTGACTGTAGTTTAAATTTAATCATTCAAAGCTCATAGCTCAAGGCTCAAAGCATTATGGGACAATTTTTTGGCCATATCCTCTTAATACCTAGCCTCCCACGCAGACGTTCTTAGGGGTTCGTCACGCGTTCCTGCCCCACTAGCGTCTGCTGAACCAAAACTTAAGTTCCTTTCCCATCGTTCGCAAACACCAGCAGGAGATCACATGCAGATTATCGGAGATCCAATCGGCGCTGTTGAAGTCAAAATGCTGACAAGCCAAACACATACGTACAAGCTCGGTAGAGTGTGATACAGGACCAAAGATTTTTGCTCCGGACAGAAATATAATGTAGGAGTTAAGCGTTGGCTTTTTGTGTATTTCTCTCTTTAAAGGCTGGATTAGATGTCATTTGCTCATATTCAAAGTTGTTCTTTGGGTGATGCAACGGCGCAGGGGCACCCAACGACTGTTTTCTGTAAAACATCTCTTCGAAGAAGAAAATATTGACGAGAATTTTCTATTACTTGAGAACGGCTAAATGTTTCTAGATTTCCGTCCCATTCAATTACAATTTTCGAAATCTATCTCATAAATTTCCTACGATTTTCTGAAGGTTTGAATTTTTTTACATATCACCCCCAGGTTAGGCTATTTTTTTGTAGAATAAAAGGAAACTTAAAATTTTCGGATTCAAAAATAGGATGGAGAGAGGAATCAGGAAGGAGGAATACAATAAATTGCATCTAAAATTTTCGGGAAAATAATACTGAAGCCCTTGTAATTTCGAAAAGACTCAAGTTCCCCTAGGATGACCGAACAGGTACAAATTTTATAGCGCCGCTTAGAATACCTTTCTAGACATCTAAAAGCACTCTGGATAGTCTAAAGATGTTTTCAATATATTTAGGAGGAAACCGTCGTTGGGTGACCCTGACGGCGGGGTTGTACGTTGTAACTGAACAAAAGACAGACTTTTTTCACACTTTATTGCTTTGTAGTAAAGCCGACTTCCGTTCAGCAAATTTAACCTCCGAGGTAATATTTTTCAAGGAGATCGTGAGGGTAGCCTCTACGAAGGCGTGTGAGTTAACCGAGTAGTTTGTTCTAAAACTGTAAGGTCTTCACCTTTCATGAGACCTTTCTGATCTTTTCTGGAGCTAAGTCAAGCGAGAAATTCTCAACGTCCAAAGTGCACTTCCCAGATCTGGAAGTGTGCTTTGATTTTTCCTCTCGTTTCAGCAGACGTTAGGGGGGCAGGAACGCGTGACGAACCCCTAAAAACGTCTCCATGGGAGGCTACTTAACACCGAGAGAAACTTTTAAGATAGGATAAAATGGGTTTTACAATCTATATAATTTAAACAGAAACTACTTATTCAGCGGAAAAATTGTCCTTTTTAACAAAACTGAGGACTTTGCAAACTGTGAATTCCACACGCAATTGGGTGCGCAGATGCAGGATCACTCCTTGAATTGAATTTTCTTACTGGACCATATCTCGCCTTTGGCTTCGTCGAAAAGAGATCTGGGTAAGAGATGACGAAAAGTAAACACCCAAGTAAGTGTACAAATAAGCAACGTCAGTGTGATCAAGATCCAGCTTCCTTACCATAATGGCGAGGGCGCGATCCTGATACTCCTTTGCACGCTCAAAGTCACCTAATCGCAGGTATGTAAGACCCAAGTCTGAGCAAGCAGTTGCTACATCAATGTGGTCAGGACCCAGCCTCTTTAGCAAAATGACGAGGGCACGTTCCTGATACTCCTTTGCCTGCTCGATGTCACCTAATCGCAGGTGTATATTACCCAATTGAGAGTAAATAGTTGAAATGTCAGGGTGGTCAGGACCCAGCTTCTTTAGCAAAATAACGAGGGCACGTTCCTGATCCTCCTTTGCTTGCTCGATGTCATGTAATCGCAGGTGTATAACACCCAATTGAGAGTAAGCAGTTGCTACATCAGTGTGGACAGGACCCAGCTTGTTTAGCCAAATGACGAGGGCACGTTCCTGATACTCCTTTGCCCGCTCGATGTCACCTAATCGTAGGTGTATAAGACCCATTTGACAGTAAATAGTTGCCACGTTATGGTGGACAGGACCCAGCTTGTTTAGCCTGATGGCGAGGGCACGTTCCTGATACTCCTTTGCCCGCTCGATGTCACCTGATCGCAGGTGTATAACACCCAATTCAGAGTAAGCAGTTGCTACGTCAGTGTGGTCAGGATCCAGCCTGTTTAGCCAAATGGCGAGGGCACGTTCCTGATACTCCTTTGCTTGTTCGATGTCATGTAATCGCAGGTGTATAACACCCAATTCAGAGTAAATAGTTGCAACGTCAGTGTGGTCAGGACCTAGCTTCTTTAGAAAAATGACGAGGGCACGTTCCTGATACTCCTTTGCTTGCTCGATGTCACCTAATCGCAGTTGTATAACACCCAATTCAGAGTAAATAGTTGCAACGTCAGTGTGGTCAGGACCCAGCTTCTTTAGCAAAATGACGAGGGCACGTTCCTGATACTCCTTTGCTTGCTCGATGTCATGTAATCGCAGGTGTATAACACCCAATGCAGAGTAAATAGTTGTAACGTCAGTGTGGTCAGGACCCAGCTTCTTTAGAAAAATGACGAGGGCACGTTGCTGACACTTCTTTGCCCGCTCGATATCACCTAATCGCAGTTGTATAACACCCAATTCAGAGTAAATAGTTGCAACGTCAGTGTGGTCAGGACCCAGCTTCTTTAGCAAAATGACGAGGGCACGTTCCTGATACTCCTTTGCTTGCTCGATGTCATCTAATCGCAAATGTATAACACCCAATTCAGAGTAAGCAGTTGCTACGTCAGTGTGGTCAGGATCCAGGCTGTTTAGCCAAATGGCGAGGGCACGTTCCTGATACTCCTTTGCACGCTCGATGTCACCTAATCGCAGGTGTATAACACCCAATTCAGAGTAAGCAGTTGCTACGTCAGTGTGGTTAGGACCCAGCCTGTTTAGCCAAATGGCGAGGGCACGTTCCTGATATTCCTTTGCTTGTTTGACATCACCTAATCGCAGGTGTATAACAACCAATTCAGAGTAAATAGTTGCCACGTTATGGTGGTCAGGACCCAGCTTGTTTAGCCTAATGGCGAGGGCACGTTCCTGATACTCCTTTGCTTGCTCGATGTCACCTAATCGCAGATGTATAACACCTAATTGATAGTAAATAGTTGCAACGTCAGTGTGGTCAGGACCCAGCTTCTTTAGCAAAATGACGAGGGCACGTTCCTGATACTCCTTTGCTTGCTCGATGTCACCTAATCGCAGGTGTATAACACCCAATTCAGAGTAAGCAGTTGCCTCGTCAGTGTGGTCAGGATCCAGCCTGTTTAGCCAAATGGCGAGGGCACGTTCCTGATACTCCTTTGCTTGCTTGATATTACCTAATCGCAGGTGTGTAACACCCAATTCAGAGTAAATAGTTGCAATGTCCGTGTGGTCAGGACCCAGCTTCTTTAGAAAAATGACGAGGGCACGTTCCTGATACTTTCTTGCCTGCTCGATGTCACCCAATCGCAGGTGTATATCACCCAAGTGAGTGTAGATGATTGCAACATCAGTATGATCAGGGCTGAAATGTTTTAAATGCATGCTAAGTGCATTTTCATAGTACTTTCGTGCTATGCGAAACTCGCAGTTATCAGTACAAATCATGCCAAACTTTAAGTATGAATGAACATACTCTGGTACTCTTGCTTTCTCCGTGACAAAAGCTACGTTTCCACGAAGTACCGAAAACAGAGATTCAATATTTATGATAAAGGCTTTTAAATGAGGGACAACGTGCTTGATATTTAAGTGCTGTCGGCCTTTTGAAATAACGTCAAGAAAATGCCTAAATGATGTCACCACTGCATTCACTGCCTGATGAAATTTACTTCTCTCTAACTGATCCTTCACTACAGCTTTGATGGCCTCATGCACAACCCCATGTACGCGAATACAGGCTCCATCTTGGTCCTCTTCAAATAACACAAGTGAACACCTCTTGATTCTCATGCAAATCGACTCTTTATCTTCGGCTTGTTCATCCACTTTGAGAATGTAACTGTTTACAATGTCCAAGCTTAACGGTTGTGATGAACACAGAGAAAGTAAAGTGAAAGTTTGATCGATAATCTTGTCGGACAACATCGCGTTTTTTACAGCAAATGTTGTCGCTGAGGTAATGGACTTTGGGTAGCTTAGTTTGCTTTCCTCAGGAAATTCTTCTGTGCTGCTTTGTTGTCCTTTTTGTACTTTTTCTAAGAAGTCGACCCAGTGGAAGTTGGAAGTAGCTTTGTTCTGTCGAACCTGATTAACATTAGTTGCGGCGCTTGCTAAGGCGAGAGGTTGATAGTCCAACATTTTTGCTACCTCTTTTGCCATCTCACAGTCAGCGATTCCAGATAGTGTCTCTAACAATCTACGGCAATCGTCAACATCCATACCTTTGCTTATAGAGACATGATTAACGAAGGAGTTAGTTGAAGGGACGGACGAGACGTCCTGAGTTGTAATCAGTACCTGGCCATTTGACCACTGTTCGTTTCCGCGTTCCGGTAGATGAACATGGACCCATGACATACTAGAGACATTGTCCACTACCAGCAGCCAAGTCGTGTACAACCCGATTTTCGTTGCAACTAGCATTTTCAAGCTTGCTATTTTCTCTTCAATTTTAATGTCCTTGAGGTTAAGGGTGTTGGTAACTGCATATTCAGGACACTTTAATTGCCGAGCCATTAAACCATACGACCATAAAGTGAATCAGGGCTTGCAGCATCTAACGTCATCACACATGGGGTAGCAGATGGAATCTCGTTTGCTTCTTCGAAGAAACCCTTAGCTACGAGACCTGCTAACTGTGATTTGCCACTTCCCGGTTTCCCAGAGATGTACAGGTAACTGAGGTCATTTTTGTTAACCTCTTTTAACGCTTTGAGCCGTTTTGTTATTTCACTTGCCTCGCGATTGCGTTCTGTCACGTGATGTGAGGGCTTAGCAGGAAGAACGCAAAAATTGGAGACTTTATTTTTTAGCTCATCCTTAAGAATTTTTGGTCGCTGTTTTTCTTGTCGAAGTTCCATTTCAAGATCATCAACCTTCTTCGTGATGAGTCTTAACTCCTCCGTGGGAAATCTTGTCTGATTTTTGACATCATCAACTTGCTTTGTGGAGAGGCCAAGAGCTTGAAATGCACCACGAATTTTACCAATGGCATCTTGAAAGTCTCTGTCTGTAAGAAGACCTCGTCGCATATCAGCGAATTCTTCAATTCTGAAGTTTCTTAGAATGTCTACGTTAGTCTTGACCGTTGTGCTGATACCTTTTCCGATACAATCAGAATCGAGAATAGCGTAAAACAGCATATTGCAGTCCCATTTACTTCTGTTCCCATTTAGCATGGTCTCCAGGAGACGCCTGTTTCGTACTTGGTTTAGCACGGACTCTCCGTTAAAAAAATACATCCCACTTTCAGGGTCATCTTTCCACTCTCCCAGAGTAGCCTTGTAGCGATTATCCCATTCTTGTTTGAATACAGACCGCAGACCCTCTGCTAATATATCTGTTGTTATATAGGAAATTCTGTAATAGTTCAGTTGTTCTTTATCATATTCTGGTAAAGTGGCCATATTCAGTTGGCTTTCTTTTCACATAACTGTCACAACCTTTTGAAAAAGATGTATACTCTTCAGTTAGCGAATTTCTCGGGGGGAGGGGGGCGTTAGGTGGGGAAGGGTAGCTAAGTTTATATTTTGGCTGATTTAGCTGTTATGGGGATATTGAACAACAGTCCCCCTAGGCCTCAGTATCTTAGCGCAAAACTATAGTTTGAAAATATCTTCATTCACTATCGTTCGTATTGTTTGTAGGTAACCGATATAGGACTGACGGGCGTCCCTTCAATTGGGATGCAAGGTATACAAGGATTATACTAACTTTTCGCCCTTTTGTTCGGAAAGGTGGGGGGAGAGATCGCCTTAGAGGGGACTTAAAGAAGAAGTTTTGCTGTATTACTGTGAAGCCAATTTTCCTATTTGAGTTGAAACATTCAGGACTGTCTAGTATACCCAGAGGGCACTCAGAGGAAGATTGGGTAGAGGTTTGATGCCGAGGCCTCCAAAGTCTGACTCTGTTCATTTACGCTACCCTGGGTTTAAGACAAGAGACCTTATTTTATGACCCTGATTCATTTCGTTTCACGTACAGAAATTAGGAATATGTTTTTAAAAGTAAAAGCATCAATCAAAAAAATAGTATTCAAAGAAAATTTAGTATTTCTGTACGCGAGACAAATGTAGACCGCTTATTTTGCCATCAAGCTTGACACTCTTTTACTCAGAACGTATAAATAAGACATGCATATAGATTTAGCCAAGGCTAAAAGCGGCGCGTCCACTTATATAATTTCAATTACTTAAAACCAAAAGATTAAAACAAATAAACTTCAACTAATGCAAAGAAATCCAGAAATAAATTTATACTTAACTGATTACAAAAAAAGGGAAAACTGTAAATAAAAACCGATCACAGCAATAGTCTTGGAAAAAAATTCTTACTCATACATCTGGATCACTGAACCCCTCCCCAACCACACCCCTGTGAGAAGAGAACGGGTGGCTATGCTTATACAGTTTCCAGACATTTCATTCACGCGTTATCTTGACACAGTAAGCAAAAGAAAAAAACTGCACCACCTTATAAAATTAAGACCGACAATCAAAACATGAGTAAAAGTTAAATGAAACATGAACAACAACGACACTTTTAAGACAGCAAGTCAGAGTGACTCAAATGTTTCCCAAAACATGTACTTGTGTTTTCTTTGCGTTTGTTGGCGCTTAAAATAGAAAAAGAAACCTCGAAAACATTTTTCTTTCGCCGAGAGAACAGCGAAAAGGCACATATACGACATTTCCTCCATAAAACGTGTAACTTGGACGTTTCTAGAAGTTTCATGTTATAGTCGTGCAAAACAACGGCAAAGAAATGTTTTAAGAGTTTGTAGATTCTATGGCTACCCTAAGGAGCAATTAGATCTGCTCTTCCAAAGTCTAATTATCTCAGTCTTCACTTATGCTATTGAGGTGTGGGGTTGCTGTTATTACGATA